CTTAAAATTAATAAATTTATGTAATTTGCATAACGTTGCGTTTACCATTATCAGTCCTTAAAAGTTATATCACAATTACAGTTTCACTTATAAGCAATACACCAAATCTGGTATTTTCATCTCTAGTTTTTATCAACTTTATAGTTTTGTATATATATTCAATTGCGTACATTTTACAAAGGAGAATGGTGTCTTTATAGGCGGATGGGACGGCATACAGTTTTCATTTATATATTTAATTGTATTACATGTTTTACAAATGCGCCCTCTTGTGCCACTTGTGGAACTACGATGTCACCACCTCACTGACAGCAGCACCATCTGGTGCCACTTCGTCGACGTCATCGTCTCTGGTGTCTATTATGTAACACTTATGTACCCCTTGGGTGTCCGCATCCTTCGTTTGTTACGTAACAGTTGCGTAACCTCAAGCAACGGAATCTTTTGGAAAGAGGCAGGCCCCTAACTACTATTACTAATTCAGATTGTTTATTTTGTGAATTATCTTATGTCCAGTCTCTTTTTTCGTCTAAGATTTATTATTCTGAGATTTAGATTAATATATAATAAATATCCTGGTTGATCTCTTGTTATTCTGGTGACCTATCCCACCGCTCTTAAGTTAATTCAATTCTATCTGGATATCCTGCAACAGTAACTTTGAAATTTACGTTCCACTGACCGCCACTCCGCAACAGTCCAATCTCTAATATTATTATTTCAAGGTAGTTTACTATTCTTAGGTATGATTTCTGGTTAACCAATAGTAACAGTAGATGCAACAGTCCAATCTCTAATATTATTATCTCAAGGTAGTTTACCATTCTTAGGTATGATTTCTGGTTGACCAATAGTAACAGTAGATGCAACAGTCCAATCTCTAATATTATTATATAAAGGTAGCTTACCATTCTTAGGTATGATTTTTGGTTAACCAATAGTAACAGTAGATGCAGTGGCCATAAGAAAATGACATTTTTTTCTGAGTAAGTTTTGTGAGCAAAATTGTTGAAAAGCAACTTTTTTTATATAAATTTACAGTTTCGTTCATACTGGCTTAAAATCGTACCTCAGATGGAACCGTGGGACGGTTTTCTAAAGCTTTTTAGTGGGAACTCAAGCCAATTGTTTCTTGTTAACAACCATATATGTGTGTCCAACAATGGTGCAATGGCGAGAATATCGATTAGGCAGTCTTTATTATATATGTCTGCAGTTTTGATATCTTCCAGTTGTACAGAATGTTAAATATCTACTTTCGAAGCAATACTTCTACTTGGCGTCAGTATTACACATATACCGCCATCTTGAATCAAGTGATCAAATCCTGGAGAATCAACGATTGCTCATACCGCCATCTTGAATGTAACTGATCAAGTGATCCGATTCTGGTGAATCCATCGAATGAAAACATTATAAAATCTTTACTCTTCTCGTGAACTTAGCTACTTTCTTCTGACGAGTAAGTTGCAAAATAAGTAAGAACTTTGCGTTGAAGACTGTTAATTATCCTGTTTTTCTTGTACTGAACTGCAAAGTAATGACGCCGTTTATGGAGTCGGGCACTTAAAAAACAAACAAAAAACAAATATCTAAATGCTCACATTTTTACTTAGTCGTGGTGACACACAAAACATTTTTCTTTTCTACAAAGTAATGATAATTTGACCCATAAAGTCAGCAATATTTACAATATTTGTTGTATATTTGTACATTTCATCGCTTAGTAACCTAATATACAACAGTACTGCTAATTCGAGGAATCGGAAGGAAATAACCACAATATTCTCACCCGAGAATAGCCAATAGAATAATTATAGTAAGTAATGATTTAATTTCATTTAGGTGTGGATGTATTAACATACAAAATAAACTTGCAGGTTGAAGTACCACGTTAAAATGTTGTTCATGCCTGTCTTAGATTCGTGATTTTCTTAGACTCCTCCTCTCTATTCTTTTTTTAATTTTTTTCCCAGTTTTTGTCGCAATTCCACCTGACGAAGAGGCCGTTAAAGAGCTGAAAAGCTTGTAGGATAATGATATCTTACATTTTAATGTGGTACTCCAGCCTGTAAGTTTCTTTTTACATTTATAGTATATATATTCTTAAAAGGTGTCCTCTCATGGTTTTCCTAAATGCTCTTATTGTTTTAGAATGAGCAACACTGTTGATAATGCCTTGCTTGTGGTTCCATTCATTCATTTAACAAATAATCTCGAAGTAAGTCTGTTAAGTATTTATTTGGTACTTTTTTATGATTATAATTATTGGTTTCTTCACAGGTCAAGAAGGTGGAAATAAGCTTGTGAATCTTGAGGCTCCAAAAACGACTGTATTTACATAGGGTTGATTTGATATATAAATTTCCAAAACCACTGAAGCTGGTGTAGTCCACGTAGACTTAAAAAAAGTTCCAGATAGCACGATGTTGGTGGATGGAGCTATTCCCATGCACTAGATAATGTTGATTTGTCTGTAACATATGTCTGAAAGTAGTCTATTATCTGTTAGAAGTTTTATCTGGCATTAATAACAGTAATAATGTTTGCAATACTCAAATTAATATTTTTGGAAAAGAAGACAACGACATTCGCGTCTTTTACTAATGTGGGAGCCTTTGTATTGTAGCAGCCTTGGCTTCTTTACTTTTATCAACAAATAAAAGTTTGCTGTCCATGACTTCAACAACATTCTGTGTATGTTTGATATGAAAGGAGCCTCAGCATTCGCTGTTTTTTTAACAATTTGCATATCTTGTTTTTAATTTTCTTTTTAAACTGCTTGTTCTACCGTCCTAATTCTGCGCTTTCAAAAATAATCTGATTCTACTCTTCAACTGTCCTTTATTCTTAACTAACACCTTTATAAATATTTGAACCTTTGTTGGGACTAATACTTCTTATGTCGCCCGGTCCGGCATGGCCAGGTGGTTAGGGAGCTCGACTCGCAATATGTGGGTCGCAGGTTCGTATCCCCGTCCCACCAAACATGCTCGCCCTTTCAGCTGTGGGGGCGTTATAATGTGACGGTCAATCGCATTATTCGTTGGTAAAAGAAGCTCAAGAGTTGGCGGTGGGTGGTGATGACTAGCTGCCTTCCCTCTAGTCTTGCACTGCTAAATTAGGGACGGCTAGCGCAGATAGCCCTCTGTAGCTTTGCGTGAAATTTAAAACAAACAAAACAAACTTATGTCGCCCTCTTCCGATCAGTAGATTTTAATAACTTAACTTGTAGCTACATCACAATTTGAAGTTTTACTTCTTCCACGTATCTAAATTGCGGATTCATACTGAATCACAAACACCACTAACATTTATTAAACTACTGACCTAAACTTTCGTTAGTACGGCAGTTTAACTCAGTATTAGGAATCTTAGAACATTTTCTATCAGGTTAGCTTTATTCTTGCTTTTTAGAAAAGTCCTATCTTAATGAAGTGTTTACATCAACGACGCATTACAACAAGAGGCTTATCGAGGTAAACATATAATAAATAATTCCAGGTAGTTACAGATAATTACATCGATTAATCAAAAAAGTACTGAATACAAGAGAGAGAATCCTCAATTGCAGCGGCACTTGAAATTCTTTTAGGCAGGATTAGAGTAAATTAATCTATGAAACTTTTCCCCTTTTTATTAGCTATATTTTTTGTGCGCCAGTAATACCAAGCATGGGGTGCGCGTATACCCGATTCGATTTTATTACTTATCAAGATCTCTACAAGCCTACCCTCAAATTGAAATTCGTTCAGGCAGGATTAGAGTAAATTAACCTATGAGACCTTGGGCGTGGTCAAATACATCATATCAATCGAAAGGATTCGACCTACTGAGTCCAAAACGGTAATTATATCTCAAATCGGTCAAGAGATGACGGAGCTATGAGCTAAAAGTTTGAACTTGAAAATAACAACAACAAAAACTCAGCCATTCTATGAGCCGTTATGCCGCGGCTAAAAACTTAACATCTTTCAAACTTAAAAAGTAATTTACAAAACAGCATATTATCTATAACACGACAACAGAGAATGACACACAATTCAAGTTACTTAAATAAGGAAAACTAGAAATTGTTTTTGGTAATTCGTGATAATTGGAAGCAACATGCCATTGTTCACAAACAATTAAGATATCTTAGATCATTGATAGTTTTTTTAAGGGTATTGCTTATGTTGCTCTTAGAAGCATTATCTGTTGATTTAAAGATACCTTGTACAGCGCCCCGTGGACCCCACTTGGCTCCTAGAACCCCGATTTTTAGCTCATACCACTCCATTATTAAATGTTGTGTGAGGACAATATAGTACAGAAATCTTGCTTATATTCAATGGTTAAAGACTGAATGAACCAGACACTGGTAAAGTTGCATTTCCTACTCGAAATGGCATTTTTTTTATCAATAACAAAATATTTTATGGTGATTTCGGCACAGTATTCATCATGAACTAAGATGAAATGGGCAGCGACTGCCAAGTTCAGAGTGACACCTGTAGAGAGAGAGTCTTAGAAGACTGATCTACAAAAACTCAGGTAGAAAGGGCGAAGTTTCGAAATACTTCTGTCTTTCTGTACACAAGTCCTCCAAGACTTTCTCTACAAGTGTCACTCTAAACTAAGCAGTCGTTGCCCATTTGATCTTTGCTTGTTCAATGAACGAAGCTGTTCACCAAAGTAGACAAGACTCAACATCTTTGCAGCACGTGCCTTTCTTGCCACTATAATTAAGCAGCCGTTCCACTAAAAATAAAATAAAATAAGAATTGAGGTCCAATATTATACAGCTTAGCTGGAAACTTGAAACAAGTAGAGAGTTTGTGATGTTTGAAATAGAGCACTCACGCATTCAAACTGCTTTTCAACTATATTAAATTCAGTCTTAAACAAACTATTACCTGATTAGCAGATGAACATGATCGTTTTTTTAAAATAAATAGCCGACAAGGATGAGTGTACAAATTGTAGAAAGATCTTCTGAAGATCAAACTGAACAAACGCACCTGTAATAGGATTACCGTCAGGATCTACTGCATTCCAGGTTAACGAGATGGAATTAGGCGTGCTTGAAAATACTTTTAACTGGGGAGTTGTCGGTGGATCTGAGATAAAACAAGGAGAAAATAATATGTTTTTAAATAAAGATAAATTATAGAAACAGAAATATAGAATTAACTTTTTTTTCTATTGACGAAAAGTATTTTGTTTTTCCAGAAATCAATTGATAATATTATACTTTGATAAGTAATATAAAAGTATTGTTTTTCAGTGATTTTAAATGACACTATTATTATTATTCAGAATTTTAATTGTCTTAGAAGAGACTACTTAGTATTGTTTTTCAAATTTTAAAAGGCCGCTGTAACATTAGTCACAAAAATATATTCAAACTGATTCTATGTAAATTAAAAGTAGTTATTTTGATGTAAAATATGTTGCAGTTACTGACAAAAACGAAATTTACATCCTAGAAGACAGATATATATCGACTGTGTGTACCAGAGAATACTTCACGTTTTGTTACAATAGGGGTGTACTGTTATATCTATAACATAAAGTCTCTGAACGTATCATGCTTTAATGTGCAATGAAAAATCCCCCTGAAAGGAGTTTCACTTGGAGGTGTATTTTATGATAAGAAACACAGGACGTTATTGAGCTTACCACTTTCTAAAGTTTGTAACAGTAATTCCTCTGAAGAAGGCCCTGCTCCCTTGCTGTTATAGGCCTGTACTATGATTACATATTTGGTGAACCGCTTCAATCCACTCAGATGACATTCTTCTTTAAAATCTGGCTGGATTTCCAAAGTTCTGTAAACATACTGATCTGAAGAGGTGGCCAATTTGTAGCCGACGTAGTAGCCTAGCAGGACACCGTGCTGTAATTTCTGATTAGGTGGCTGTAATGGAGGGTAACTCCGATTTTTGATGAACATTGCAAAATAAGATATCTGAACACTAAGAAAAATGAATCGTTAGTACTGAGCGTTTATCTATGCACTAGAGTTCTTCATTTAATCAGTAATTAAGAAATTATACTATATTGGTCACTTATACATGCTAACAGAACCTTTGGTTTCACCAATTGTTTCATGAATGTAGATCATTACTTTCTTCCCCCTAAATGAATATGAAACAGACAAACATAGCGAATCATGGACTTCTAACCAATTGTTTTATTCTAGGTTTTTATGTAATCAACCCCCCTCCATTAGCTGAATATTTAACATTTTTTTTATTTTTAATTTGAGAGTTTAAGTGTCGCTCAAGCTTTTGATTAACCAAATCTTTGAGAAAAGTTTTAAAAAGTTTGGTCAAATCGTTTACTCAGCCATGGAGGTAAAATATGATATTGTTATTGTTTAAAAATATATCAAAATATATTTTACTCTTCTATTCAAAACTGATTTGTCCTTGAACATTCTCTTGGGTTACTTTTTATAATATATATTACACACAGGTACGGTTAAAGTTTGTGTAATCTATCTGAGCTGTTCATCTTTTGCAACTTAATTGCAGATGGTTTCTAGCCCCTACCTGATAATACTATGGGTATTAATATTTATGCTCCTCACTGGCACAGCGATATATCTGTGGACTTACAAGTGGTGGGCAAAGCACAGATAGCCCATTGAGTAGATTTGTGCTTAATTACAAACAAAATTATATACAGACAAATAATTAATCTTTACTAACTATTTCTTTTAAACTAGTGACAAGTAGTTTTAATTACACAGGCCTGCGATGGTTATATTGTCTTGAAATCTGTACATATTCTACAGTAATTCCTGTAGGCTGAATCCGAAAATCATATCCCTTTTTCTCCATCACGTACACATTTTTCACAAAACGTCATAACGCAATACATTAAATAAAGACCACAACACATAGTTTTGAGACTAAAAGACGTACACTGAGTGGTCACAAGTAAATAGACACCTAATTTTTCGTCATTTAACTGATTTATGCTAACTAATTTGTG